TAGGAGGAGTCGAGGCAGCAGGAGCAAACTGTGTGGTAACAGGTACAGGAACTAAAGTGGTAAGGACTCCAGCTCCTTTGGGCTTGGGCACATCCAACACCATCAGTAAGTCTTGAGGAGAAATTGCCAGATATACTTCCATATTAGACACCCACCAGTTATGGTACCTCTTCAACATGTTACCTTGAGTAAGAAAAGGGATATACTCAAAATCAATCAAGTCCTGTATAAACTTAGAAGTTGCCTCTTCTAGTTTGGACCGACGAACTTTCAAATCCATGGTGGTGAGACTTAGATTGGTGTTACTGCAGAGAGGTACTGGGACCCCTTGTGAGAAATCAAATTGTCTAGCAAATTAAGCAGGACAGTAGGGCTCAGCAATGCATTTGTAAGCTCTGGGGTTCATGGTCCCAATGAATAATTCTCTAGGGATTAAAATAGAGGCCCATATGTCTTTGTGAGCAAGTAAAGCACAGATCCTATCACTCAGGAAATTCTTCAACCAAGATGGGCCAATGGTCATGGGTTCGAAGGGACGAAAGCAGTAGGAAGGAGGAGAAGCTGGAAGCCGATGGAAGAAAGAGAGTAAAAAACAAAAGTAGAAGGATAAATTGAAGCATTGGCTAGCCTCATGCCATGAGTAGGACGGTTTGGCTCAAAAAATTTAAGGCATTTGGATTGTAACTCAGTGAAATAAACAAACAGCCAAAGCTAAAGAATCCAAAATGGCCCCCCTTGATTAGCATCTAAGGGTTTCTCACAGAAATGAGAACAAGCTCTATATACGTGACCTAGAACGTATGGAGCTAAAGCCACCCTCTTCTGTAAAACAAGGGCTTTGGCAAGAGAGGCAAATTCAAGCATGATTCTTTGAGAAGAGGTGCAGAAAAGGAATTCACAAAGCCAATATAGTAAGAAAGAAAAGAATTCCCTATCGGTCACAGGACCCTCTCTTCTATTCTTAGCCTTGACAAAGTCATTATAGGATGAGTTAAGAGAGAGGAGGGAAAAAGGGACTGCTAGATCAGGATAATCTGGTCCAATGGGGCTTCCAATGGGAGATAATCCTAATAGATGGCAAATGTCAAGGACAGTAGGGGCCATCATCCCACTTTTGAATTGGAAGAAATTAAAAACAGGATTCCAAAAGCATAGGGCAGCAGTATTAAAAATGGGTCCTTCGAAATAGTTGACCTAGATAATCGAAGGGCATCGAAAAGGCAAAGTTCTTGAAGGTCCAGAGTCTTATCAGGGACAACCCGATCATACCATTCTTGCCATTCCGGTCTCACTGTGGGCCAGCATCGGTGGGGGCGATTTGTCCTCCAGTTCCTCCAGTTAAGGCCACCCTCGTAAAGGAGAAAATGGTCTTTTAGACGAGGATATAGAGCTGGAAGCTCAGCAAGAATCTCCTTGAATATAGGCCCAAGCACATAATCTTGTTGCTCATGACGACGAGGGATGAAGATACGTCCGTCGATGGCGCTTTTCTCCCTAGCCTTGTACTTTTCACATTCTGCATCAATGATCCTTTTCAGGACTACAGATGGGCTCGCACGTTCTACGACTAGTACTTTCAATGAAGAAGAAGCCATTGATCGAACGCTTCCTCAAAAGACGAAGTTGGGAAAGGGAGTAAAGAGAAGTGGAAGATCGATAGAGATAAAGGGTTTCTGTATTGAGCGAGCAAGTGATTTCAGAGCACGAAATAAAAGGGTTTTAAAAGCTTTTATGTTTGGAAGATATATCGCGTGGTTCGTTAAGTACTAAAAGTACCAATACGAAGAGTTTCTTTCAATATTGATACTTTTGGAGGGAAAAACACATCCCAGACATTGAAGCCAGTTTCGAAGTATAGTATTTGGCTTCGAAACCAGATATTGGTGCCAAAAGTCAAATAATAAACGGCTTCGAAACTAAGAAGCCAACTTCGAAGTATATTTCATACTTATGAATGTAAGAATGCTCAAGTATTCGTTTACTTCGAAAGGATTAAAGACATGATTTAGGTTTCTCAATGAAAGTAATGTCCTTCAAAGTAAAAGTTGAGATCCCTTAAAGATGAGAATTGCTGTTCAAAACATTAAAACCATTAATTGGTTTATATAGATATTTAAAGAAGATTTTCTTTCTAGACTAAAAACAGCATGGGCTGTTCTTCGAAGCAAAAATGGTCAATTTAAAATGGTTGATCATACTAACCATGACCATATGTTGGTTATGATCAAAACAAGCTTTAAGGGGTAAGATTGTTAAATTCGAAGCACCAATTCTAAATGAAAATCAGCAAAAATTGTTAACTATATTCCATAAATTGGAAAGGTTCATTGTTGGTTCTTTTAGTGTTTCATTTAAAACGATTGAGTCCAAATTCGAAGGATAAGATTGTTCAGTTCAAAGCCCTGAATTTGCTTTAAAGACAAATGGGGACAAGATCAAACCATACCAAACAAAGAAAAAATCTTAGTGGTATTAAAACAAGAGTAATTACATTGAATGACCCTATTTGGGTACAAACTCAAGCTCATAAAAATAGGGAATGGAATAAATAACAAGTTCATGAAATTTAGTTCAACTATGATCAATGAATTTCTGTTCTTTTTTTATTCTATCCTTTATTTCTTCTAACATTGGCTGCATGAGTTGATGTGCTCTCACTTCGTAAAAGAGCTCTTCAGCCTTTATTTCGAATGTTGTTTCTTTCAATCCTTGTTCCAATTCGTCTATATCCAAATCATCCAGTACGCAGAATCTTTATTCTTGAAATCATTAAATTATTCAATGAAGTTCTCTGCTTCGTTCTGGGCATGAACTCGAAGGGACGAGAGTTGGTCTAAAGATTGTGTGGTAGCCATGGAGGTCCGATGCCAGTGGAGAAGCAATGGGAGTTGGTCTAAAAACATGTGAAGCTCTGCTTGGGCAAGGGGATTAAGAACGTGACCCCAAGTCAGAATATCACAAGCCCATCGAAGGTTCTTAAGAGGGACTTTGTCCTCAAGAACATTGAAGGGCAAGTGAGAGAAAGCCGTGAGCAGAAGTTGAGCTTGCTTCCGTTCAGCTGGAGTAGGGGAAGGTGAAGGCTTGTAAGGTGGAAAGATCTTATCTGCAGAGAGGACAAGCCTCAATCTCTCTGTCCAGCACGGATTTGGCGGAGGGGAAGGTGTGGATGCTTCTATTTTAGGAGATGGAACAAGGACAAAAGGAACAAGGGCATTAATATAATCGAGCCAGTCAGAAGAACAAATCTTCGCCTTCTGGGCTAAGAATGATGGATTGTACCCTTGTGCCTCTTCTAGGCGTCGGGTGGCGTGCACTATCTTTGTAGGTATGAAGGATCTATACCATGCCACAAGCAGATTCTCCTCCAAACTACGTCGATGGTCAATCGACACGTAGGGATAGACCACCGAGCTTCGCGCATAAGAAGGGAACTCTAAAGGGTCAGTAAATTCGACAAAGTGATGGTTGATTCGTTCCCTCAAATCACAAGCCTCAAGTTTTGACCAGCTTGTCCAGTCAGAAGGCCCAGAAGAGGAAGAAGTCACAGCCTTGTCCCATGCAGAGGTTTGTGAAAAAGAACTTCCCATATCCATATTTGCAACTTTCTGAATCAAAGGATTGAGAGCAATTTGTTCGTAGTCCAAGGGTGAGTCAGAAGAAGAACTTCCCATGACCATATTTGTGAGTTTCTGAATCGAAGGATTAAGGGCAATATGTTCGAAGTCCAAGGGTTGATAATTTGCAAAGGCATCCATGACCTGAATATAGAAAGGTAGGTAAAGGTAGCTAATTAATGCATGAAGGTTCTTTCATGGAGGAACATCATCATCATATGACTCTTCGTGTGCTCGATCAATGGAGGGAAAAATTGATTCGGCTATAAAAAATGTATCAGTCTGTTCGAATACTAAGGTGGTGGGGGTGTTCAAAAGATTGAAGGAGAGTTTAATACAGATGATGAATGACAGTTGCATTTATGGGAGAATGCAAAACCCATGCACGTTCTAAGACGTGGGAAAGAGACCTTGATCTACTAATATCACCAAGTATTGAGTATATTAGTGCGGGGGTTAATGTTGGCTACATATTTTGTACAAGCCAATTACAATTCGACGCGTGGCAAAATAAGGATGATATAGGAAGACTATTTAAGTCTTCGATCCTGATCGTACACGTGGCAATTAGTATTGGTTATTACGAGATCTGAGTAGCAGTGGATCAACAAAGAGATGCAAGGTGATGTGGCTTCAACAGTTACTCACATTTCAAATTCAAATTTAGGTGGGAAACCTAACTGCAAGTAATGGCGTAATGAAGCTAATCTTGAGGCAACATGATCAGCGATTATGGAGGAGTAGTTCGACGATTAGAAATGCAGTTCGATAGTCATCCTTGAGCAGTATAAATAGCAGAGAAGGCCCCTAGAAAAAGCCCCTAGACTCAGATCCAAAAAATCAGTCTTATTATACTTATTTCAGTTTTACATTTCCAGTCTTTCATTTTTTGTACTTTAAATTCCTGCACTGCACTTCGTTCATAGGAGTAGTTTCAAGTAGATTGTTGCTGTAAACCTGTACGAGGCAGAGTTTGAATCATTATAAGTTTTTTCATGTTAATGAAATACTTCAACTGTTCTTTATTTAATTGTTATTTTGCTTAATTCTCTTAAATTAAGCCACCAGTAAAAGTCCTCTTTATTGAGGTTGAAAGAACTGAAACGCAATCATTTGATAATTGGTTGGCAATTAATTTTCTATAAGGACTGATTGATCCTTACTGGTACGCTCGCAATTACAATAATAACTTTCGAAAGCCAAAAGCCAACAGATTTTTAAAATAAAAAATAAATTTTTTTAATAATATTTTAAGATAAAATTTAAATAAACTAGTGGAATGTTCTTACATGCTATTTCCTAATGCCATGCTGCCACGCATCTCTCTCCCGACCCATGCTGTACGACCCCTTACTTACGCCATCCTCCCTCTCCCCCTAACCTAACCGCCCTATTTATGTCATCTGCTCCCTTGCCTCCTCTCTCTCATCTTATTTCCATCATCATCTAACAAATCTCTCTCTTCCTCTTTCTCTTTCTCCAACAACTATATTAGCCACTTTCTCTCTCCAACAAATATATCATCACCATCATCATAATGGGAAGCATTTGTGGAGAGTCCCACCAGCAACACAAGTTCCACCCTTCCCAGCAACTCCTCCTCCTCCTCACCAAAAAAACCATGACACATCTCAACATTCCTCCTCGGAAACTCCTCCTCCCCACCTCCATCCCACACAGTTCCCTGACCCTTGATTCTCTGAGATCCGAGGAAGCCCTGCATCAGAACTTCTTGCCCTACAATGGCCTCCACGACGACGACGACGAACAAGAAGAAGAAGACTCCACCACCAACCCTTACTCTTCAGACCATTTCCGAATCTACGAGTTCAAGGTCCGCCGCTGCCCTCGCAGCCGCACCCACGACTGGACCGACTGTCCCTTCGCTCATCCCGGCGAAAAAGCTCGCCGTAGAGATCCCCGGCGCTTCCACTATTCCGGCACCGTCTGCCCCGATTTCCGCCGCGGAAGTTGTAGCCGCGGCGACAATTGCGAGTTCGCACACGGCGTTTTCGAGTGTTGGCTTCACCCTGCTCGCTACCGAACCGAGGCTTGCAAGGACGGTGAGAATTGCAAGCGAAAGGTCTGTTTCTTCGCGCACTCTCCTCGCCAGCTCCGCCTCTTGTCGCCGCCGGAGATAAAGTATTACCGGAATTCGATTCATTGTTGTTGCCCATTTTGTCACTCTGTCTCTGCTTCTCCTACATCTACACTAATGGGTTTGTCTCCTCCAATCTCTCCTCCGTTGAGTTACAAAGATGTGCTGACCACTGAGCTAATGAGCTCTTTGGAGTCCATGAATCTGAATGAAGATTCACATACTGCCACTACTACTGCGAAAGGAATGCCGAATGCCGTTGTGGGTCGATGTATCTTTGAGCAATGGCGATGAATATGATCAACTGCAATTCATTCTATCTCCTTCCACTACAAGTCCTTCTGGGTCCACGGGTTTTTGCAGTAATGGTGATGATTCTTCAAGCAAGAGCCTCAATAATGATGAGAAGCTCAATGATAACGGTTTGGCTTGCCCTGATCTTGGTTGGGTCAATGATCTTCTCACTTAATTGAAATTTTTAATATGATGATGAAAAAGTGAAGCAGATGATGATGAAGGTCATGTATATATAGAGTCATCCACTATCCATATATATATATATATATGTATATCATCAAGTGTGTGTATATATGTGATATGGTGTGTTTTAAGTTGTTTAGATTTCTTTACCAGTCTATTGAATTCTTGTTGAATCATCAGTCTCTATGAGTTTGGTCACAAGTTTTCTTCTCAAGGAGGGGAGAGAGAGAGATTGGACTGTTGTTTGATGTATTGAATTGTGCTGTAAAACAGTGATTGATCAATGATGATTCTCTTTTCTAATTCTTTTGTATGAAAATTATTGTAGTAAAATAGAGTTGGGATTTACAGCCATACAATTGTCTTAACGCATTAAAAAATAAATAATCAAATAACTTTTTAATCATTTTGATATTTGGAAGAAAATATTTTCTCACGATGGAAGGAAAATGTCATGTGATTCAAGTTGATCTAGACTTGATCTATATTCAGGAACAATTTACAAAAATAAAATAAAATTACATTTTTGTTAATTTTTAAATTTATTTCTTAAAAAAATGATTTTCTCATTTTTTTATTTATTTATATTCTTCAATTGCAAAAAAATAAAAAAATAAAAAAATAATAATTTATTCTCTTCTATGCATGTTTGTACCCTACTTCTATAATTGATCTCTTTCCTACATTCACCATAAACCTCCACAATTGACTATTTTTTTTTGTTTTTTCATTTTTGTAAAAATACTCTCTCAATACATAATTCTCCATTAGCGGTGCCTGTGCAATTAAAATAAGTAAAAATTAAATTAAATTATAAAAAAAACAATATTATAATATGTATATTGTCCAAGTGGTAAAAATCTTATTATTTAAACCTAAGATTTTGGATTCAAGTCTTATGCACCTCTTCGTATAATTTTTTTTGTTTTAAAATAGAAAAATTTGTCATGTGAAATGAGGAGAAGCAAAAGTTTTAGGACATCAACTAAGGCCTTTACCATAGTAGATCACCTTAAATTGCCATTTACCACAACCCACCCCCTTCTTAGCTTTCTTTCTTTTGCTTCGCTGCCCTTGACATTTCTTCTGCTCCTATTCTCTCTACAAGTGGCACAAATCTGTAGACATCCCATTTTTAACCACCCGTAAGACTTAAGCACTTGGTCCAGCGCACTCGATGATGAAAACTGCATTGTGTGATTCAAGTTCTCGGTGAGGGAATCCAAGGTCGAGCCCCAAAATAATCCCAAAACCTTCCTACTTTTCTCATTCTTACCTTAGAGGTTCATTTTTTACCATTGTGCCACCTTATACTGAATTTCAAACAGGGAAGTGGGGCAGCACATTAGGGCCCAGCCGTACCCCATTGGGAGCCGCCCGTGGCTATTTGGGCCCGACCATGCCTCGCTGGCAATACACGCTATTCTGGGCGAGAGCCCGCCAGTTGTCTTTTTTTGAAGATATTTTCTACTTGTTTTACTCAAATTCTATAAAAAGGAGGTTATACCTCTATTTTGAGGGTTGAAAAATTTCAAAAGAACATATACACACAAGAGAGAGCTCATTCTTCCTATACAAATCACCTTTGAGCCAACCTATCTCTCTTGATCAATATCCATACACTATACATCACCTTAGATCATATCCTTAGAACTTTGGTTGAGGCTTGGGTATCACAATTCAACTTTGAGAGTGTGCTTGAACCAAGTTTGTGTTGCAAACAAGAGCTTACTTCTTTGAGAGGTATAAGCTTATCACCTTCTCTTTTACTTCTTGTTCTATCTCTTGCTATCTACTTCTTGTGTTTTTATGTTGTCTTGAATCCATTTCAAGTGTTCAAGCTTGGATTTGGATAGCTACCAAAGGGTAGAGAAGGTTAACACCTTCTCTTGCACCTTATCTCATAGCTTAAGCCTTTGTTTTTACACTCTCTTCTTTGCCTTTTAAACTGATTTTCAGAGCTTGGAAAAGGCTAAAAAAAATGGTTTGAAGTCTTAAAAATGGAGAGGTTAGCCATCTCTCATTGCTTTTGTTCACTAGCTTTGCTTTGCCTTATTCTTTCCTACCTTTTTATGCTTTCCAACATGATTTTTGGTCACTATTTTTAGCATATTAGGGGCTGTTTTAGGGTTGTTGCAATTTATTTGATTAGTATATGCTCGAATATCAAAGCTTGTTGCATTGTAAGTCTTCACATCTAGCTTGTTATTTTGTATTATGTATGTTTCGGTAGTTTTCTATGATTAATTAAGAATCAATCTTGCTATCATGTCTACAATCTCCTTTCTTTCTTCTTTTCTTCTTGTTTGAGAGTTATTTCAACCGGTTGATGGTTATTCAAAATATGAGCTAGAGACCTATGCTCAATGGCTTAATCTCTACGGAGGTTCATCATCAAAGGCATGGTCTCTCCTTCATATTTAGGAGTACCTCTCGCTTGACGTTCTTCTCATTTAGCGGACTTAACCATCACCTTGGACAAATGGATTAAAGAATGGACAAGACTAATGAAATTGGCTTAAAATTGGATCAACCTACGTAAAGAAAATAAATAAGGTTGCTTGGGCTCGGCCAGACGTTATGTCGAGTCTATTGTGTCAAGAGTCATCACACGTCAATTCATGGTGTTTTGACGATTCTTGAAGTGTCTTCACTTCCCCTTTTGATCTCACTCCATGATAAAATGGAGGGATTGGTGTTGATTCATTGCCTTCATTGATTTTTGTCCAAATCGTGACTGAAATCATCAAGCAGCAACTTGTTCATTGATGGTTGTGAAAACGACTTCATCATTCTCTTGAGGCTTTCCATGACAGAGAAGTATAAAAAGGACAAACAGGGCTCAGAAAATTATGTTTGCACTGTTTTCACCCCAGAGCATAAAAACGGAGTTTTTCATTTCCAGTCCCCATTTCTTTCTCCTTTTAGTTACCTGCTTATAATGGTAGTGTAGAGCATCATGTTTCTTATCATTTTTCATGTTCGTATACACTTGTCTCACATGCATTTGGGTTCGACTCATCATACTAACCAATGTCAATTTCACTTTCATTGTTTGAAAATGTGATTTATTGCATACCTTGAATTGGATCATATAGCATGCTTATAACCGAGCTTATAAAAATTGCACAGATGTGTGCGTTGCATTAGTTACACTGCATCGTTTAGGAACATGCATATTTTCTAATTATTTCGCTTTGTTTGGCCGTCCTTAGAGTACTAGGTGAGCGTTTATTGCTTTAGCATCTTGCATTGCGTGTGATTGTTGCAATGTCAAGCATGCTTTCTATGAGACTAATTGCTTAAATGATATATATGTTTGAATGCCGGTGGATGAAGGCTAATTGCTTAAATTGGGATAAGTTGAAACAATTTTCAAACAAACACAAAATCAAATGTTTCAATTTTTGTAAATTAATCTATACTTGTGTGCGTCACATAATAAAATAGCCTAGTAAATCGGAACAAAAACATATAATGTAAATAAGAATCACATCATGATTAGTAGAGGCCGATCTTTGATCGGGCAAGTGGGGTGCTCAATTCATGACATGTCCCTCTCGTACCTAAGTTCTCGAGCTGAGACACTTTGATGATGACGGACTAATGGCCTTTGGCACGAGTCTCGATTTTCCTAAATTTCTCAAAAATATTTAGGTGGCGACTCTAAAATCTAGCAAAGCAGTCCATCTTTGACATTTGATTCAAACATCGATTTTTCAAAAAGAATTGTCGGATTTGGACTCTTTTTGTGTTTTCACTGTTTTATACTTGTGAAATCAAATTCAGAACCATGAGAGTCCGAACTGTAGGGCTAGTCGTATCCAAAAAGAGTACGAAAAGCAAGCTACGACTTCTGGCAACTCTACTGGGGATTTAGAGAACTTGACTCGAAATTCATGATGTGAAATTTTATCTACACTTATATGTTCTTTGCATTGCATTTGCATGGTTACTTTAAGTCACTGTGTTTTTCATTTGCTATTCCTGGACGGTTTGTTGGAGGCTTGCCCAAAAGGCTTGCCAAAAGGCTGACTGGTCATGGGCTTTGCCATGTTGGAAACACAACCCTTAGATCTAGATTACCGTTGTACCGCTTGATCCTCCTTTCACTTTTCAGTGTTAGGTGTGAGAGGTATATTAGGTAATCTTGTCGAGGTATCCTTTCAACCATTTGACCTAATTGTATGTAGTAAAGCTATAGTTATTATTCCAAATTAGGACAGGATGCCACCCATATGCAGGATGTTGTGAAACTCACTGATTGAAGTAATGCAGTCTAGATCATGTCAAAAATCTAGGGCAGGGTAACCCTACCCCCCTCATAGGGGTGTTTTGGTTCTTTTACTTGGTATGTGCTTTTACAGTGAGACTGTATAGGATGGTTCATATCAGTATGAGTTTGAGAACAGAGTTTAGTGGGGATTAGGGTTCTTTAGTTATGTCTTATCTGTTGTGAATTGGGCCGAAGTGCCGTCCGATTTTGATCGATGGTTTTTATTTTCTTTTACTAGGTAGTGTACCATCATAACTTCAGAAAGACCCGACATTCCTCAAGTTGTGTGGACTCGCTCTGGCAGGCTTTACAAAGCTCAAGACCTTGTTGGTGGCTAGCCTGTATTAGTCTCACTTCCGCTAGTTACTTGACGAAGAAGGAACAGACAGTCAACAACACCATTACAAAGCATTTACCAAACACCTATTCGTTCTCACTCAAGCAGTTCACCAACATATAACTTATCTAGACCAGCAACGGCACATAACACAAAATAATTTGCTGCCATGATGGTGACTTTCCAAAGAACCATGGATATCATAAACCAAATGATGGCCACATAGGATGAAGTCATTGCTGATCGATTGTGCATCCGATCCCGACTACTTAGCCAAACCCGGATCCACCTCTACCAGTAGAAAATCCCCAAATCCCAAATCCTCAGGAAATGTTTCCCCCAGCTCCGGCTTCAGCTTATAGGCCTTTGGTTCAACTCCCTGCGGGAATCTTTCCTTTTGATATCAATGAAATTGGTTCGGCCTTGGTCAAGATAGCTAGGCTTGAGAAAGCACTAAAAAAATCCCAAGGCTTCAACTCCATTTCGGGTATCGAAGATGGATACACTGAGGCTTCGGTCAAATTACCGGAGAAATTCCGATTGTGCATGTCCGCTTGTTTTCAGATGTGCTAAGACCAATGAGCCTGTCTCGAGCTTAAAAACTATCGTTGTTCAGAAGAACTTTGTCTGATGTAGCGGCTATCTGGTACGCTAAATTCGAGGACTCTACAAAGCGAAATTGGGAGGAGT